ATGTATGCTTTGTTAGTGAAAGGTTACCTCTTACGGTATGTATGGAATAAGCAAGGTGAGCTGGATGACAAAAATTTCTAGCATGGAATTGCAAAACGTCAACGCATGAAGATGTGAGGTGCAAATGGCACAGGAAGACTTCACCAAGGAAGAATCAAATATGTGTAAATAATCTGGTTACTTTGTTAGACTTCGCACTGTCGGATTGTATTTCGCGGGTGGCCTAGTGCTGTTTCGAGAGCAATCTTACGCTGAACACACCCCGCGCCTTTCCAGCTCGTTACTGACCCTCTCGATTCAGTCGTCATGGTGTGAGACACCGCCTGTGGTGGTGCCCCTCGCAAAGTGCTCTTCGCTGTCTGTCCCCCATGTTCTGCCATCAACGAGGTTACGAACTACCTGGGTTTATGCCTGAAAATCCATGTTTCATTATTAGATATGTCTCCTTCTCACAACGTGCACGTAGTGCTTGCTTTCGGAGCTTGTGCTCAATAGCGCGTACGCCTGCATCACCTTCCAAACCTTCCGGCAACCTCATCATCGACCTCTGAGCAACTTCACTAGCACTTATTCCCATACGCATACGCTTACCCAGTATGGCCGGCAATTATTTGCACCACCAGTGTTTTTCTTACAAAAACGCGTCACGCCGCACCTCACGCGACCACAGAAGCGGCAGGCTGAGGGCCACTGCTACGCAAGCAAGACCCATTATTGATACATAATTATTGGCCTCGACGTGCGGGTGCTTCCGGACTTTCTGCGTTTTTTTCTGCCCGTTGCGCACGTGTATCGCCACCTGTTTCGCGAGCAGATTTACCCGACTGCACACCTCACACACCGGCCGCACTACGCAAGCTGAATCGTTCCTTTACGCGGCGAACCGAGATTCGACGGAAAAGGATAAGGATGAGGTGGAGGGCGATGTTCCCTAGGCTGAGACTGGCCATATATCAGCGTCAACCCTAGTACTAGGAGTTGTCTTTCTGGTTCCCCATTTCAGGGTTCTCAATAATTCATCTATCAGGCTGTGTAATCAACACTTCATCAATCAGGCTGATAGATTGATATCGTCAACTGCTCCTCTCGAAGTCATGTCGCTTCTCAGTGCTATAAATTCCGCCGCCGATACCGTCAACAACAACTGCGAGACGCCGTGCAAGAACGCGGGCAACGTCGTTACGGCCTGCGTCGAAAATTGCGGGGTATGTCACGCCGTAAATGAGTCAGATTCATTTGAGAATTGCCATGAGCACTCGTCTGCGCGTTCTTGTTTCACCTGTCAGATGGATCGTCAACCAAGAGTGATAATAAGTTATACCTACCCGTTAGTTAGAGAAGTGGAGAAACCAAGAAATCAAAACTCAACGTTTGGATGCCTTTGTTGGAAAGGCTTGAATTGCTCTCTGATCTTCGCTCAAACTCAACCTCCGTTCCCCTTATCGCCCCGGTCCCCTCCCCTTCGCCTTACCCCCTTTCTCCTCATGTATGTACCGCATTGGACAACGATGGGCCTTTATCGAACACATCACCAACATTGCAATTGGTTGCGAAACCTGCTCACTGCAGCTCTGCAAGTCCACAAGTGGAAACTGCAGTACCAACTTCCAGCCGAATTGGGCTGATGGTGCGTCTAGCTAAAGCCCTGGTTTCTCTCAACCCTTTTTTTCGATCTCTGGGTTGTTCGGGATAATTCACTTTTAGTGGACCTTGATTGAGGCCTGTGGTGGTGACCCGCTAATGCTGGTTGCACCCAACTGCTTTATTCATTGTGAGGTTTTTTAAGATTAGGAACACGCTGACTTTGCGTTTGACAATCTCCTGTTCTTCCTCCCCTTTGCTTCTTAAATCAATTACCAGGTAAGTACCAGGGGTACCAGTGCAATAAATGCGATGCGGGTTTTCCGTGGTGGGTCGGGATGATCATTGCTATTGCCATTCTGTTGGTCGTCCTTGGCATCGCTTTCATTATCTACCGGAGGCGCACCTCCAACACGACCGTTGAGGCTGCCAAGCCCAAAGCTGCTGACGTTGAACAAGCCTGACATTGCTGTTTGGTGACACCATCGTCCTGATCACAGGATGCAAATAAGTATCACTTGAGAGCCCATTGAAGTTAATAAGTGTGCTGCTCATTGTGTTGATGATTTGAGAATGTAGGCAATGTTAATGAAATGTTATTGCTAATGTTTGGGCTTGTAACCAGCAAGGTTAGTATGATGACAAATTGCTTTAGCATGATGAGAAGATTTGCGTGGAATGGACAGTCCAGGTGTAACCGTGCAGTAACACAAGTAACGGCATTTTGACTTTCGCGGCACATTGCCAGGACTCAAATGTGTCTCTGGTAGCTCGCTCACTTACCGCCCTTCACACACACAATTATTTCTGCTTCCAAAAGCGCCTCACACGGCACGCGGCCACAGATGCGGCAGGCAGAGACTAGACTTGCTAACCAATGAAGGGCCCATTATGGACCCGTCATTATTGGTTTCGACGTTGTTCCTGCCGAATTTTCTGAGTTTTGTCCTGCCCGCCGAGCGCCTGCACAACCCATACACGGGCCGCACTGCGCAAGCTGACTCGTTTTTAGCGGGTCCGAGGCTCGACGGGAAGATAAGGATGAGAAGCCTTTCGTAAGGATGAGGTGAGCGCCGACTTTGTAGTTCCTGCCCGCGGCTCCGCTGCGCTGCGACGCGGAGAGACCCATCAGGGCGAGGTTCTCTAGGCTGGGACTGGCTAGTATATCTAGCATCAACACCGGAGTCTACCACAAGCGCTCTTTGCCTTTTCTTATTATTCTCAGCGTTCTCAGTAATTCATCTATCAGGCTGCGTACCAGCAATACAACTTCTTCAGACTTATTGATCACCAGCTGCCACTCTCGAAGTCATGTCGTTTACTTCCCCCACAATGAGGAGCCAAGTATTAGTGGTTGCTGCTATTTTCACAGTCTTAGCTCACTGCAGCGTAGCAGCTTCCTCTAAAAAGACCGTTACGTACTACGACTGTAATACGCCGTGTACGAACGCCTCCGGCGTCGTTAGGGCCTGCTACGATGGATGCGCGGTATGTCACTTCAAAACGACGCAGATTTGTATGAGAATCGCCACGAACACTCTTCTGCGCGTTCTTGTTTCACCTAATCAATTCTTTCATCGGAAGAGGCGTCAATTGCTCATTCCTCTTTGCTCTTTGCTCAAGACGCAACTTCCGATTGTCTTATTGCTCCTCCCCCCTTCGCATTACCCCTATTCTTTCCATGCATGCATCTGGACCGCACTGGACCTCTATGGACCTCATCAACCTCATCATCAACATTGCCTGACACGGCCTTCGATTTTCAAAATTAACGCACTGCAGTCGTGCGTGACCTCAAAAGGCAGCTGCAGGTTCAACTTTCAGCCAAGTTGGGCTGTTGTGACCAACGCCACCACTGGTTCCACTGGTACGTCTTTCTTAATCCCTCTTTCTAGATCTGTCATTGGGTAAGAAGACCTGGTGATACTGGCTCGTATCACATAAATTCACTTATGGTAGTGGGCGTTAAATGAGGCCTGTGGTGACCCATTAATGCTGCTTTCACCTAACTGCTTTATACGGCGTGGCATCTCAATTAATAAAAACACACTCACTATTCGTTCGAAATTCCCCTGTTTTCCCTCCCTTTCGCCTCTTGTATGATGAACCACCACCAGGTAAAGTGTACATTGGTTACCAATGCCCTATGTCATGCCCTCCTCTTGTGTGGTGGAAGTGGCTGCTCATTGCCATCTCCATTCTGGTGTTCCTCGTTGGCCTCACATTAAGTATCATCCGGTGGTGCTGCTACTCCAACGTCACCATTGAGGTTGATGTTCCCAAAGCTGCCGACGTGGAAGCTGCCGTGAAGAACGTAGCTGCACAGCTGGAACGTAGCTCCAGCTAGCGTTGAACAAGCCTGACATTGCTGTTTGGTGACAGCATCGCCCTGATCAGGACACGTATCACTCTCAGGATGTGAATAAGTGGCTCATTGAAAGTGATACGTGTGCTGCTCAATGTGTTGATGAGTAGAGAACAGGCCCCTAGATTGGTTTTGGGGTAGGCCGAAAATGTCATATGTTATATGTGGCTGTTAGGCTGTAGTGAGTTGCTCTCCATAGGGTACACAACTTTTGTATATCGTACCCATCTCCTAATAGTCACACCATTTCATTGTTTCACTCTTTCAATATTTCAGTTTGCCAAGGGAGCGGCTTGCCTCGTTGCAGTGTATCAAGCCGCCCAAGGGAGTGCTGCTGTATGCCCCTCACCCTTCAACCTCTGGTCCCTACCCTTCCTCTCTCCCCCTTGCTCCTACACCCTGTCGACAGAGTCAATAGCTTGTGGAGGCGGTGGTGCTGCTGCCCATGACACACAAGGAAGGAGCGGTTCGCGTCACTAGGCATCAAGCTTCCTCTCTTCCCTTCTCTCCCCCCTCCCTCTGCCCCCCTATCATGTGCCACGTACTCAGATTCAAGAGCTGGTGGAAGCAGTGGTGCTGCCAATGACCCATAAAGAGCGGTTTGCGTCACTAGGCATCAAGCCGCCCAAGGGAGTGCTGCTGTACGGCCCCCCCGGTACCGGCAAGACGCTCATTGCCAGGGCGTGTGCCGCTCAGACCAACGCCACGTTCCTTAAGCTCGCAGGGCCGCAGCTCGTGCAGGTGAGGTGGAGTGAGGTGGATTACGGTGGATTCTGATGCGCTTGGGGTGTGATAGGGGGGAAGCGCTTGCTACTGTACGGTCCACCTGTCGAAGCGCTTGGTGCTGGTACCCCCTTTGTTACATTGCAGATGTTCATAGGAGATGGGGCGAAGCTAGTGCTGGATGCGTTTCAGAAACGCATCTCCTATGAACATCTGCAAATGAGAAGTCTGCACCTCCCACTTCACCTCCTCACCACCCCCTCACCTCCCCACCACCTCACCGTACCTCACTACCTTTCTACCTTCGTTATCCTCTTGCTCCCCCTCCCAGATGTTCATAGGAGATGGGGCGAAGCTAGTGCGGGATGCGTTTCAGCTGGCCAAGGAGAAGTCGCCGTGCATCATCTTCATTGATGAGATTGACGCCATCGGCACCAAGCGCTTCGACTGGTGGGTGGTGGGGTAGGAGTGAGGAGGTGCAGCGAACGATGCTGGAGTTGCTGAACCAGCTGGATGGCTTCAGCAGTGACGACAGAATCAAGGTGAGACGGCAAGCCAACCACACAGACGGTCATGCTTGCTCAATTGCTGTGCTCTCTGGTCAAGTGCGATTCCTGCTTTTTCACCTCCTCACCTCCCCATACCTCTCCATCTGTCATCGCTCCTCTGCCCACACTGGCTGAGCCCTTCCGCCCTTGTACATGCTCTAGTGCTCATCCACTCGTGGTATTCAACTGATGGTAGTCATGACCCGAGCAGACACAGGGCGTTTGAATTTTAGGCACCTCGCAACAGTTCCTGCCCTGTCCCCCTTTTCTATGCTCTCATGAATATGACATTCTGATACCATCAGGTCGTGGCAGCCACCAACCGAGCCGACATCCTCGACCCGGCTCTCATGCGCTCGGAGCGACTCAGTCCTTCCTGCCCCTAGACCCCACCGCATTCAATCCATTTACCCCCACTCACACCGTGTCAGGTGGTGGCAGCCACGAATCGGGCCGACATCCTCGACCCGGCTCTCACGCGCTCGGGGCGGCTCGCCCATCTTGCCCTCTCACCTCTCTCCCCGTTCACCATTCAATCCCACTCACACCGTGTCAGATGGTGGCAGCCACCAACCGAGCCGACATCCTGGACCCGGCTCTCATGCGTTCGGGGCGGCTGGACAGGAAGATTGAGTTCCCACACCCCACCGAGGAGGCCCGGGCTCGGATCCTGCAGGTGAGGCGAGTGGAAGGAATCCCATGCTTGTGTGGTTGTGCACTGCAGGTGAGAGTGCCTTGCTGTGGGGTGCGGTTTAGATTTGCCGTGCGATCAATGAGTTCCCACACCCCACCGAGGAGGCCCGGGCTCGGATTGTACAGGTGAGGCGAGTGCAGGAACTCCCGTGCTTGTGTGTGAACGGTAGGTGAGGTGAGTGCAAGGAAAGAAGGTGAGGGAAGCCGTAGAATTGATGGATTCTCACAACTCACAGAGGAGGCCCGGGCTAGCATCCTGCAGGTGAGGAGTGCGAGGGCTCCCGTGCTTGCTAGAGCTGTAGGTGAGCGGAGTGCAAGGACAGTTGAGGCAAGCAATGGGGTCAGTGGTTACCCATATCCCGGGCTTGAGTCCTGTAGGTGAGGTGGGTGCAAGGACTACCATTTGTGCTCTCCAGGTGAGAAAAACTGCATGGGACTGCTAGGCTTGCTTGCGTGCATGCTGCAGAGAGAGAGAAGCTTGGATTTTGGTCTATCCATAGTTTGAAGTCATAAAGTTTCTCTGCTTTCTCTGCATTTTTTCCTATCAGATCCACTCGCGGAAATTTTACGTACACCCAGATCTGTATTGGGAGGAGCTACCATTGTCAACCCCCTACCTCTGTCCCTAATCCCCTGTCCCTCACTCGTTGTCAGATCCATTCACGGAAAATTAGCGTACACCCGGATGTGAATTTCGAGGAGCTGGCGCGGTCAACAGACGATTCCAATGGAGCCCATCTTAACGCCGTCTGTGTAGAGGCCGGCATGCTTGCCCTGCGGCGAGACGCCACTGAGGTGAGTCTTCTGAGCCATATCCCTCGAGGAGCTGGTGCGGTCAACAGACGATTTCAACGGAGTGCAGCGGTGAAAACCTTACCTTTCCTCTGCCCCAGTTCCCCACTGATGTGCTGCGCGATGTCGACCCTGCCGCTGTCTCTCGTGATGCTGTAACCCCCAATTCCCGGAACAGGCCTAACCAGCACAAGCGCCACGCTCGCACCATGGCAGAGAAGAATGGTTGGCTTGTGAGGATGAAGGATGATATTCTCACGGTGCGCGAAACTGCACGGCTGGCTGGCGTTCAACCCGTGAGCATCCGCCGCTGGAAGAAGGCGGCTGAAGAGATGGCAGCGGCGGCAGGCAGTCGTCTGCGGATTTCTGGTGGCGGACGGACAGCTCGCTACCCTGACATGGAGCTGTCAGTGTACAAGCAGTTCCTCGCCCACAGGTCACGGGGACTGGCGGTCCCGATTAAGCTGCTGCAGACATGGAGCCGGATCTCGATGAAGCTCCGCCACCCTCAGGTCGACTGGCGCGCGTCTCCTCGCTGGACGGTCAGATTTCGCAAGCGCTGGGGCCTCACCGTAAGGGTAAAGACCAAGATCGGGCAGCGTCTGACGAAAGGTACGTTCATTTCGTAGGCGGAGAGTTGTTTTGATAATAATTTCCTAACACTGCCGTTTGTTCATTACGCTTTGTCTACTGGCAGATTGCAAGCCGAAGTGTGAAAGCTTCTGGCAGTTCTGCAGGAGGCAATTGGTCCGCGATGGCATCGACCCCTGGAATGTTATCAACGCCGACCAGACGCCTGTGTTCCTCGAGATGCGGCACGAGAGGACGTTGGCGCACCGCGGCGAGCGCGCGGTTCACATTCGGAGCGCGGGCTATGAGAAACAACGCATGACTGTGATGCTCGCGGTCACGGGGACGGGGGTGAAGCTGCCGCCGATGGTGATATTCAAGCGGAAGACCATCCCCAACATCAGGGTCCCGCCAGGTGAGTTGCTGAATCTGTCTCTTGTAAACGCATCGTTTACACTTGTGCATGATTGTCCCCGTTCTGACTGTTACCTTGTTTCTGTGTGCAGGCATGCTAATCCGAGCGTAAGAACGTGGCTGGATGGATTCCAGCCTCGTCCTGGATTGGGTGCAGACTGTGCTGCTACCTCACACGCGCCCCCGCCCAGGCATCAACCGCAGCAAGACACTGCTCGTACTGGACTCGTACCGTGGGCATCTGACGGACAGCGTACGGGGGACGTTACGCTGGCATCGCATCACGCCTGCGATAATCCCTGGCGGCTGCACGCCTCTGCTGCAGCCGCTGGACGTGAGCATTAATCGCTCGTTCAAGGCCGGTGTCCGGCAGATGTATAACGATTGGTTTGCCGATCATGGCATCAACACCCTCACCCCCGCCGGTAAGCCCATAACTCCTTGTTTGGCCCCCTCTACCGGCAATTTCCTTTCCGTATTCTTACGCTCAACCGCCTGTTCACCGCTGCAGGCAACCTCAGGAAGCCGCCAGCGGAGTTGGTCCTCCTGTGGATCGCCACAGCCTGGGCCGCCGTCCCTGAGGACCTCATTATCAGGTCATTCAAGACCTGCGGCATCACCAACACCCCCGATGGGCGCGAGGATCACTTGATTCTCGCGCACATGCGCGATGGGGCTCAAGTGGAGGTGCACGACGACGTGCACGCGGCGGGGGAGGTTGAGGAGTGGATCAACCCCATGTACGCCACTGCCGCGGAGGAGGCCGCCGAGGAGGAGGAGGAGGAGGAGGAGGAGGAGGAGGAGGAGGAGGAGGAGGAGGAGGAGGAGGAGGAGGAGGAGGAGGAGGAGGAGGAGGAGGAGGAGGAGGAGGAGGAGGAGGAGGAGGAGGAGGAGGAGGAGGAGGAGGAGGAGGAGGAGGAGGAGGAGGAGGAGGAGGAGGAGGAGGAGGAGGAGGAGGAGGAGGAGGAGGAGGAGGAGGAGGAGGAGGAGGAGGAGGAGGAGGAGGAGGAGGAGGAGGAGGAGGAGGAGGAGGAGGAGGAGGAGGAGGAGGAGGAGGAGGAGGAGGAGGAGGAGGAGGAGGAGGAGGAGGAGGAGGAGGAGGAGGAGGAGGAGGAGGAGGAGGAGGAGGAGGAGGAGGAGGAGGAGGAGGAGGAGGAGGAGGAGGAGGAGGAGGAGGAGGAGGAGGAGGAGGAGGAGGAGGAGGAGGAGGAGGAGGAGGAGGAGGAGGAGGAGGAGGGAGGAGGAGGAGGAGGAGGAGGAGGAGGAGGAGGAGGAGGAGGAGGAGGAGGAGGAGGAGGAGGAGGAGGAGGAGGAGGAGGAGGAGGAGGAGGAGGAGGAGGAGGAGGAGGAGGAGGAGGAGGAGGAGGAGGAGGAGGAGGAGGAGGAGGAGGAGGAGGAGGAGGAGGAGGAGGAGGAGGAGGAGGAGGAGGAGGAGGAGGAGGAGGAGGAGGAGGAGGAGGAGGAGGAGGAGGAGGAGGAGGAGGAGGAGGAGGAGGAGGAGGAGGAGGAGGAGGAGGAGGAGGAGGAGGAGGAGGAGGAGGAGGAGGAGGAGGAGGAGGAGGAGGAGGAGGAGGAGGAGGAGGAGGAGGAGGAGGAGGAGGAGGAGGAGGAGGAGGAGGAGGAGGAGGAGGAGGAGGAGGAGGAGGAGGAGGAGGAGGAGGAGGAGGAGGAGGAGGAGGAGGAGGAGGAGGAGGAGGAGGAGGAGGAGGAGGAGGAGGAGGAGGAGGAGGAGGAGGAGGAGGAGGAGGAGGAGGAGGAGGAGGAGGAGGAGGAGGAGGAGGAGGAGGAGGAGGAGGAGGAGGAGGAGGAGGAGGAGGAGGAGGAGGAGGAGGAGGAGGAGGAGGAGGAGGAGGAGGAGGAGGAGGAGGAGGAGGAGGAGGAGGAGGAGGAGGAGGAGGAGGAGGAGGAGGAGGAGGAGGAGGAGGAGGAGGAGGAGGAGGAGGAGGAGGAGGAGGAGGAGGAGGAGGAGGAGGAGGAGGAGGAGGAGGAGGAGGAGGAGGAGGAGGAGGAGGAGGAGGAGGAGGAGGAGGAGGAGGAGGAGGAGGAGGAGGAGGAGGAGGAGGAGGAGGAGGAGGAGGAGGAGGAGGAGGAGGAGGAGGAGGAGGAGGAGGAGGAGGAGGAGGAGGAGGAGGAGGAGGAGGAGGAGGAGGAGGAGGAGGAGGAGGAGGAGGAGGAGGAGGAGGAGGAGGAGGAGGAGGAGGAGGAGGAGGAGGAGGAGGAGGAGGAGGAGGAGGAGGAGGAGGAGGAGGAGGAGGAGGAGGAGGAGGAGGAGGAGGAGGAGGAGGAGGAGGAGGAGGAGGAGGAGGAGGAGGAGGAGGAGGAGGAGGAGGAGGAGGAGGAGGAGGAGGAGGAGGAGGAGGAGGAGGAGGAGGAGGAGGAGGAGGAGGAGGAGGAGGAGGAGGAGGAGGAGGAGGAGGAGGAGGAGGAGGAGGAGGAGGAGGAGGAGGAGGAGGAGGAGGAGGAGGAGGAGGAGGAGGAGGAGGAGGAGGAGGAGGAGGAGGAGGAGGAGGAGGAGGAGGAGGAGGAGGAGGTGGACGAGGAGGCACCTGTGGAGGAGGAGGAAGCTATGGAGGAGGAGGACGGCGAGGACAGTGAGGAGGAGTAGACAGGTGCTGGAGTAGGTAGTCTAGTGAGTGTATGCGCTGGCTGGCGGTAATTTGTTGGTATTGTAGGCTCTAACCATTTGACCCTGGGTAGTAGAGTTCAAAAGAAGTGTAGCATGTAAATGTGGCTAAAAATAATGCTAGATTGTTATAAAAAACCAGAGATTGGGGAACAAGAGGGGTCTTATAATGAATTGGGTCAAATGGCGGGTCCTCTCCAGGACTGACTTAATAAAAGACCCCTGGTCCGGATAGAAGACCCACGGGGCTTTTATGCGGGGGGGGTCTTGTAACCGGGAGATCACGGTAAAGGGAATCGAAACATTTCCTTTTTAATTAAGGGGGTGGTTTTGGGTGGGTGCCCCAAATGCTGACGAATATTGTGGCGGGGTTCGATTGAGTGTTACATATTTCACACTCGCCAGCAACGCCCAAATGATCGACCATAGTGTTTGGTCGTTACAATTTTACACGCCCTCAGGGCGTTGTGTGAGCGAGCTTGCTGAAGGTATGAAAATAGCACGCGTACGCGCTAAGGAACAATAGCTCTGGTCTGGTAACAAGCGCTACTCACTGTAGGACAAACCATGATGATCTTTGCACACTACGAGGCGAGGACCAATCAATCACCCTAAGATCATACAAGTACTTTCATAGAAGGCTGCTGTGTTTCAGTTTGCGTTTCAAATTGAGAAATGAGCTGACAATGTAAACAACCCTTTCTTGCAAAATGAGAATCTCAATCAATGACGTAGATGGCACAAAGTGGCAGCCCTTTGCAGGCTCCAACAATAAAGAAGGGCATTCACACAGAATACAGCAATCACATGGCTGACATACGGTAGAGATGCTGCACTGCCACAGTGAGTAACAGACACTTGCTTGCATCCAGTGACCAGGAAGATGGTGTCACCAAACAGCTAAGTCAGGGGTTCCAACGTCAGCAGGGTTGGGACAAACAGAATGGCGCTGACAACGAGCAGCCAGCTCCACCACGTAAGATGTGTTGTAGATATCCCTCCAGCATGTTTGGGACGACAAACAGAAATATCGCAACTCCCGAGCCGGTACTTTGTAGCTGGTACGATGCATTAGGCAGACGGGAGAAGAACAGGAGAAGGAACAGAAAATGTCAAACGCAAAGCGAGTGTGCTGTTTTTCTTCAAAATGACACGCAGCATAAAGCAGTTGGATGCAAGCAGCGGGTCACCAGATGCACACCGTAACTGAATCGATGCGATCACAAGCCAAAATCATCAATTCCTAACCAACAACAAATTGGGAGAAAGCAGGGCTCTAGCTAGACTCACTAGTGGTAAGAGTGGTGGTGTTGAGGTCATCAAACCAATTGGGATGGAAGCTATAACTGCAGCCACCAGAAGTTTGGGGCACGCACAGCTGCAGTGAACGAGTTTTGCAACCAGTTGAAGTGTCATGCAATGTTGATGATGTGGTCGGATGAGATCCAAGGAGGTCCAATGCGGTCCACGTTCATGAGGAGAAAAGGGGTGTGGGGAAGAGGGAGGAGGAATAAGGAAATCGGAAGTTGCCATTCGAGCAGAGAGCATAGGGAGGAGCAGAAAGCAAAGAGCAATGGGCAATTCGAGCCTTTTCCAACGAAGGCGCCAGAAACGCCAAGTTTCGGTTTCTCCACCTTTTCATCGAGAAAGGGCGATGATCCATCTGGCAGTGAAACAAGAACGCGCAATGCTCTTGTGAATATGAATCGTTACGGAGACGCGTCAGGCTCCATCTGCCCAAGAAGCTCCTCTTCGCCGTTCACAGGTTCGAAGGGGTAAGGGAAAGGGGGCACGGGAGGCGACGGCGGAGCAGGAGGTGCGGGAGGAGCCGGCGGAGAAGGTGGTGCCGGAGGAGCCGGCGGGGCAGGTGGAGCTGGGGCTGCGTTCGCCATGGCTGCAAGGCCTCGGGCTGCACTAACAGCCCGCATCTTCATCAGCATGTCCAGCGCAGACATGACTGCGTGTGTACAGGAGAACAGCCTAAGCTACTGGGTAGGAACATGGTGGCTGAGAGAAACGGGAGGAGGTTTTCAACTCAAGGAAAAAAAAATGAAAATGAGCCTCATCGTCTCGGACTACCCCCCTCAGAAGCCGGGGAGGAGAGGGACGTGACTGGGGTGAGAGCACGTTCTCCGAGGCGCTTGCAATCCAGCAGTGCACGGTGGAACGTTATTACACCCATCACCCCACCAGATGCACCGAACCTGATGAGGTGATGGTTGTGTGGCCACGACACCAACCAAGTAGCCTCGCTGCGCCAGCACTGGCAGGTTTTGCCGCCGTCATGCGTGAATGTGTGACGCGTGGCATGGGTCGTGGTGCACGAAAGTGGCAATTTGACTCCTCGCTTACAGGCAGACTCGAATTCGATGGGTGAGAAAAAACCAAATTCCCTGTACACTACCACAAATTCAATATGTGTGTAACAAATAGATGTCCAGGGGTCTTATGCACTTCATGTCATTACATAAGACCCCACAACCCATTTCCAGCACATTTAGGATAAGACCCCCGGGTCTTCTAGGCGGGAGATCACGGTACTACATTCGAAAGGGGTGTGGAATACGAGGGATCTGAAGCCTAGACAAGAGTGTTTACCAAAGCAGTGGGTTTAGGTAACCGGAACAAAAAATTTCCCCCACTGAGCATCAGTTTAATCATGTCCCGAATTGGGGTGCCTAAATCTCTGCTCCAAAATTACCACTGAAAACCGGTCAGACCGGGGTGACTACTCCTATCGGCGTAACCCTAATTCCTCGCAATCGCCAGAAACGCCCGAATGATCGACCATAGCGTTTGGTCGTTACAATTTTACACGCCCTGAGCAAGCTTGCCCTTCATACGCACAATTAGGGCGCGTGACTTTTGGTATTTATAAGCAAAACTCGGATTTGGGGTTGATCTGTACACATTTGAACCTAGGTCGACCTAGGCTCGAGTATATCCACATCTGCAACCCGTGTCGCTGCTCCAACCCTCTCGAAAATCACAGGTTACACAAAAGTTCATCTATCGAGGTTGAACTTTTGCAGCCTGGCCGAGTCGCGGCCTATTCTCGTAGGTTACCCGGTTTGGGCTCTTGAGAGCGCGCCACGTATGACCCCCGTGACACGGTGACACCTGGGCTACATATAGCCCAGGTGTCAAACTCGTAGCTCACAACACTCTCGCAACATGATGATCCCCCAGCTTCTGCGTTTCCTTGCCATTGTCTGGCAGGGGTACATGCGACTATTCCTGCTTCCTTTTTTCTGTCGCCCTTGGTGCTGCGCTCCCAAGCCTCGTCGCTGCAATTTCGCTCCGTCAATCCCGCGTGTTCGTCAGGGGAGATCGCCTGGACTCCCGTATTCGCTGGTTCCGCCTCATCAGCATTCTTCCGGACGGCAGCTTCTACGAATACATGCGGGTGGACAAACGGGTGTTCACCTATTTGGTGAGGCAGTATCAGCGAAGCAGGTTCGCAACGTGGCAGAATCCCGTGTACAACTTCGTGCACATCGGCATGGCACTTAGCAACATGCATATGCTTTGACACACCCCCATAGGCAAAGTGGGGGAGAGCAAGGGGTCACAAGACCAGTCAAGAGAAGCAAAGCAAGCTCAGGGTGGATCACAACGTCACCACACACACTGAGCACAAGCAAAGGGCCACAAGGCCAGTTCACATGCAGGGGTATATATGCAACAACAACAGCACAGTGATCTCTACCTAGCAGAGCAAGCATGCAGGTATATATAGATCACAGTACAAGCAAAGTCTACAGCAAGTGAGGAAACGTGGGCACAAGTCCTAACAGAGTGCAGAAACGCTGATGATCACCAGACGGAAGTGCCTTGGTGAATATATCAGCAGTGTTGGCCCGAGTGGCCACGTGAGCAAGACGAAGCTGACCACGCTGCTGCAACTCTCGAGCCAGGAAGTAACGTAGAGCAATGTGCTTCGTTCTGTGCTCCAGTCTGTGCTCCTGACACAAGGCAATGGCGGCCTTGTTGTCGACGTACATCACTGGAGGAGAACGAGGCCGCTCTCCCAAGTCGGTCAGCAGGTAGGTGAGCCAGCGTAACTCCTGTGCAGCCATGGCTGTGGCGTAGATCTCAACCTCACAACTGGAGCTGAGAACTGAAGACGAGCGTGTAGAACGCCAAGAAACCGAACCAGAGCCAAGGCTGAAGGTGTAACCCTGTGACGACCGCTGCGTAGCCTGGTCGTCAACCCAAGAAGCATCTGAGTGGCCAGTGAGGACAACGTCGCTCCGTCCTCCAAGCACGAGCCCCATGCCCGATGTACTGCACAAGTAGCGTAGTACCCTCTTAGCAGCATCCATGTGCACCTTTCGGTGCCGACCAGGAGCCACGTAGCGAGCCAGAAGGCCAAGAGGGTACGCAAGGTCAGGACGAGTGCAGGTCATCAGGTACATGAGGCAGCCCACTAGCTCTGGGTAAGGACCACTCGGCTCTACGGACTCGTCCGAAGGTGGAGCTGAGAGCGAGTGACCTGTAGCCAGAGGAGTGGCCTATGCCGAGGACCAGGTGAAGCCGAAGCGCTGAAGGACCTGCTGCACCATGTGTGACTGAGTCAGTGTGATGGTGTGGCGTGCTCTGTCCCGGGTGATCCGCAAGCCAAGATAGCTTGTCAGCTCACCCAGGTCTGTGCACGTGTGTCTCTTCTGCAGCTCCGACTTCACCAGGGCGAGAGCCTCAGTGTCAGCAGTGGCAAAGACCAAGTCGTCGACGTACACGAGGATGTAGAACAGCGGCAGCAAAGTGTCAGTGCGCAGAAACAACGACGGGTCAGCAGTCGACGGAGCAAACCCAAGAGCCGCAAGTGTCGTCCTCAGTGTGTCGTGCCACTCACGTGGCGCCTGGCGGAGACCGTAGACCGGCCGCCTGAGGCTCCACTGGGTACCAGGAGGGAACGACCCAGTGAAGCCAGGTGGGCGGCGCAGCCAGATCTCCTCGTGCAGGCTGCCCTGTAAGAAGGC